GTACTAGTACTAGTACTAGTGCTAGGTAGGCCGGCCGGCCATGCACGGATGCTACCTAGGTTACTGTACCCTACCTTCTCTCATCTCCGGCGGCACTGTTCAAATGTTGTCCCGAACAAGTGCACGTCTTGTTTTTTTTTTTGAATCAAACTTTTTAAATTTGATCAAATATATTAAAAATATTGATATTTATAATGTGTAATAAATATTATTAGATTGGTCGGTGATTATACCTTCACGATAAACTTACTTCTTGGAGGTACAAATGTTGATATTGTTCCTATATATATATATCTAGTCAATTGCCAAAGGGCCTCTAGTCCAACTGGTTAGAGCGTCCCAACGGCACTCCTCAGGTCCTCGGTTCGACTCCCCGTGGGAGCGAATTTCAGGATGGGGTTAAAAAAATCTCCTCGTCTGTCCCACGCCAAAGCACAGGTCTAAGGAACGGCCCTGTTCTCACAGGGGTACGATGCCGCTGTGTATGGATGGGGCAAAGGTTCGGGGGTTTTCTGGACCTACGTGAGAAGGTTCTTCTTCTTAATGCAATGCCCATGGTGGCTTTTCCCCTTGGTGTAGTTTTTTTATATATATCTAGTCAAATTAAAAAAATCACTCATCATGAAGTAAAATGTGCACTTATTTGAAAAGGAGGATGTACTTTCTAGCTAGGGTCCCGATCTGCAAGCATGCTAGCTTAATTGTCGTCCACTACATAGCAGATCAACTCTAACCTAGTATTAGATGTCACGTGAACTAGATCGAGGCTAAAAACTTCTAAACTAGTGAGAAGAGACGACCTAAGCTCTTTGTGCGTATTAATGCATATAAAGAAACATAACTCATCTCTATTGATAGGAGAGAATACAGGATTAAGTCCATTTTTTGCCCTCAACACAAGACTTTGTCTAATTTTGACCATCAACTCGTGTAACTTTCACACCTAAATTATCAAAACCGTTCGATTTTTTCAGGTGTCTCTCGCTCCCATGGGCTCAACACACGGCCGTGGTTTTGATTGGCCCTGCGCTCCGTCGCATGCAAGGTTGGCGTAGGCACGACGGTATAGGGAGGGGCTGATGAGGCGAAGGCCAGCAGCGATAACACAATATAGGGGGGTGGAAGAGGCAGAGCGGGGAAGGGTGAACCGGTAGACGTGGGGATGGATCGGAGTGGGGCAAGGCTGGTGAAAAGGTGGGGGTGGAGGTATGCGTGGGGCAGAGCGGGGCGAAGGCCGTGTGTGGAGGCGGAGACCAGCCCGTGCATATAAGCTAGGTGGAGAGAGAAGAGAAATAAACAGAAGGGAGGGGAAAATGATGCAAGAAAAAAAAGAAAGAAGAAAAAACTAGAAAGGTGTTACGGACACGCCGTTTTTAACAATCATGAGAAATTATTTATCAAACGTTTTCTAACCAATGAAGTTGGAGCAAAAAAAAAACTGCTTTATCACAGAAGGCACAACTAGAGCTGAAGCTCTATCGGCCCGTCGTGTGTACGTGATCTTTGTGCATGAATAAAAAGTGTCAAAAATGCCCCAAATACTGTGCGATACTCCTTTCTACCGTACCTCACAACAGAGACAAAGTAGATAGAGACAGGGTGAGAGAATCAGGGAAGCTTTCTGTCTACTTAGTACACCTGATGATGAGGTAAGCTTTTCCTTTGATTCTGTGTAACCATGTCTTGTACTCGTCAGTTTGTCAACATGCATGCATGCAGGCGTGCGTGCATGTCAAAAAGAACCCAACCGTGCCGTGCCGTGCATCGGCGCCGTACGTTTTGGCCTTGCTGATGATTCCCGGTCTGTTCAATGTTCCCGTTGTCTTCTTTGTTCTAGCAACTGAAAACAAACTCATCATAAGATAGCTACCTAATCCACCTGTTTGTCAGGTTAATTAGTTCCCCCAACAACTCTTCAGGTTTTGCCAGAACAATTCAGGTCCTGAATAGAAAATTTGGCCGTAAGCATGCATTACCAGTTTGTCATTGTTCAGATCTGAGATGGGATTGGAGAAACATGTAATCATTGTTCTTGAGCTAGAGTTCAACCAATTTGGTGCTTAATTTGCGAAACAATATCAGTGGTTGCTTGGTAGTAGTAGCACTTGAACATGGAGTTCAACGGCCACATGCATGTTTAATTAGTACCTACTACTGCTACCGCATCAATAAGTTGATGCTGCAAAATCTCCTAGCCTCTGAGTTCTTGCTGGACGCAAATGGATCTCATCACATGCATGTTAGCTAGTTGCCTCTGTACCATATGCAAAATCTCATCTCATCTCATCTTCGCTTAATATCACTTATCCGCCACCAAATCCCTTGTCATATGCTGCTGCAAACTGAATTGACTTGCAACCATCATCGATCCATCATTTGGCTCGCCTAGTACTTGTTTATGTCAGTCTGGCCCTTGACTGATCATTGATTCCTGGTTTCATACAGCAACTTTGCTTGGGGAAAAAAAGTATATACGATCCCTCATCAGGTGGTATACCAGTTCTTTTACGAACTATCATCGTTCCTTCTGAACTTGTGCGTCTGTTATTAATCGCCTGATTAGTTTCCCGTACGTCGCTTCTGCACAATGATAATGTAGTAGAAGCCAAATAAAAGTGCATGAATTCTGCAGAGCTAACCTTAGTACAGGATCATCATAAATTTAAACCCTAACTGACAAAACAGCTGTGTGGAGCTACACTACTGTACTGTCCGGTTGCAACCTCTGTACAGCTATTAAAAAAAAGTTGAGTCAGGGACAGTGGTCCGCTAATAATAATGACAAGGCCATGCGTAGACAAAACAAAACTGCAAGATTCGCGTACCAATTTTCAGCAGCAAAAGGCGCCATTTCGTCAACATGTACGTAAACTGGACAGCCTCTGTGGGTACCTAGTTTGTCCTCTCTTGGCAGATGCATCATGCATGATGCCCTAGCTAGCTAGGTAGCCATGGCCATGCCTGCATGGTGAAAATTAAACAAAAGAAAAGAAACAACTAATAACCCAGGAGTACTGTGGATGTGTAAAAACAATTTGAGGATCGGAAATGGTCAATCTTGTTCTAAGCGCCTCCTGATTCTCATGGAGCATCTACACATTTCTTAGTTTATCTAGATGCCTAGCTATGATACGTTTGAATAATACTCCTAGTAGTAATTCATGCAGATCAAGGCAGGAAAATGGAATGCTAACTTATACCTGGCTGTCTGCGGTTTAGGTGTGTGGAATAATGAAGATGTGAGGATCATTGTTTATCCACCCACCTTGACCACATGACATGCAATTAAACTCTTGTCTTTGTCTTGGTGAAACCTAATGTTCCATCAGTCGTCAGTCTCTCCAAAACCTCGAGCCACCATCATCAGGAATACTTAAAAAGGAGCCCAAATTAACCCCTGTCTGCCTGAGAGCTTACAAGTCCCTTACCGACCGACTCCGTAAATTGCTTCGTGATTGCAATCCCTTGTAGTTCGCGACATTTTAAGTTTGGCCGATTTGACTATTACTGGTCCGTCGCCCAAAGCCGACATGAGGTGCCTTTTTTTAGTCATCGAAAATTCGAAAGTGTTTCGGTAGTCTGTGCAGGGAACAAGGATATGTATGAAGAAGAGAAGTAAGGTCAACAATGCATGCATGCACTAGCACCACCATATGGCCCATGGGCAAGGGAAGGCAACACAGACACAGTAGTGGCTCTTCTTCTGTTGCAGACTAGTAGTAGCAGAGCATGAACTTCTGTACGTGAGCATGAGCTCCTTCCTGTACATGAGTCTGACTTGTGAATGGAGGGAGCAAAGCAAAGGGCTTTCAGATGAGACACGACGTACAGCTAGCTCGAGCGACCGAGACGGCATGCATTGCATTGCAACAGCTTATCGCTCGTTCGTTCATGCCGATCGATCAGAGCCTGCCCATGCACTGTGCAGCAGTATAACTGTATAGGAACGCATGCATTGTTGGCTTTGTATAAAGGATCCAGTCCCTGTTTAAATCCATGGCATAAAGTTTTGTAGTGTCACATCGGGTGCCACATGAGATTATCGTATAGAGTGTTCGGATACTATTAAAAAATAAATTACAGAATCCTTCAGTAATCTGCGAGACTAATTTATTAAGACTAATTAATATGTTATTAGCACATGTGTTACTGTAGCAATATATTGTCAGATCATGGACTAATTAGGCTTAAAAGATTCGTCTCGCAAACTGTGCAATTAGTTATTATTTTAGTCTATATTTAAAACTCTATGCATGTGTCCAAACATTCGATGGGATAGGGAATAAATTTTAGGAGAGAAACTAAACAAGTCCTCGTCACACCACGCCACTGTAGATCTCAAGGCACAGGAGTCGAGTCAGTGGGTGCAATGTACATGAGATGGGCAGGTCGAGGAGGATCCTTCTTCTTCCTCGGGTTTGTCTCGTTACGACAAGCATCAGAGTTCCTTTTCGATCAGCTATCTGCTCCGAGACAGGAATTCAGAAGGCCAGAACAGGGAGCGAATGGAACGCAGAGAGGCCAGACAGAGAGAGAGAGAGGCGACAGGAAGAGATGGCGGCGATGGCGGTGTGCCGGCAGTCGCCTGCAGCTGCAGTGGTCGACCGGCACGCGCGAGATCGAACAGTGCTGCAGGCTTCCCCGGAGCACTGGAGCAGAGCACTGCATGGCCTGTCAACTGTGAGCGACGATCACGCTGGCGCTTCGCGTCGAGGGCGCCGACGGCGATGCGATTGGTCTAGTAGTCCGGTGCCCCACCGTCTTCTTCAATGGAGAGACGATGGTCCGAGAGGCCTTGGATACTTTGTGGAGACCCAGTTCTGACGCAAGGCCCATCTTGCTCTAGTCGGCCGTAAACGGGTAGGGCCGAGATGCCAGCAGCATATTGGGCCGGACATTCTCTCCGTCTCCGGCTCGTTTAACCCTCTCTTCTCCCCTTCCCCTCCCCTCAACTCCGTGCCTCCCTCTCACCACCGCCTCGCGATCTCCCCGCCGCCGCCATGGCTTTCTCCGCGCGGAGGAGCCTCGCCACCAGCCTGTCCAACCACTTCTCCCGCCGCCTCCACCCCTCCATCTCACACCTCGTCCCTCCCCACCACGACCACTCCGACTCCGACCCCGCTCCCTCCCCCTCCTCCTCCTCCCCCGTGCCACCGCCTCGGCCCCAATCGCAGCAACCCGCACCACCGTTCCCCTCCGCGCATCCATGGGCGTCGAGATCCCGGGCCCTGGCCCCCTTCCCCCTCCCATTCGCTCTCCACCTCGCCGCCCACCCCTACTCCTCCGCCTCGGCCCCAGGCACGGACGTCTTGACGGACGCCGCCGCCGCGGACCCCGTGTCGGAGCTGCTCTCGGATGGGGTGGCGTCCGCTGCGGCGTCCGTCCCCTTGCCGCCGGCACCGTACCCCGGGGAGGTCGCTGCCGCCGCGGCCGAATCATTTCCTCCGGTCGCGGCCCTGCAGCACCTCCTGGACGCCGTGCAATCCTTCACCGGGCTCAACTGGTATGGCATGCCTTCGGGGCTTCGCGATGTTTTTGTTGCGGTTTCGTTTCCTGTGACGTAAGTTCTATATTCCTGCTACGGTGATCAACAGGTGGGCGACTATTGCGCTGACGACGGTGATGATCCGGTTAGTGACTGTCCCGTTGCTCATCAACCAGATGAAGTCGACGATGAAGTTAAATGTAATGCCTGTACTTCACAACCTTCTCTTCTTACTTAATCCTTTGTTTTATATGTGTTTGTTACCGGCCCAGGCATTACTGCATAAGTGCTCAAACATCTAAAATTTGTCAAATTTTTCGAACCTAAGCTTCTAAAACTTTTCAAGTTCGAAACTTGTAACATTGCTAAAGCATAATGATAGTATGACCAGGATATCCCTGCTGTCCGAACCGGGTGCAGAAGTCTGCAGGGAATCTCCACTCATTGCTTCCCCTACTAATACCCTGAGTTTGGTTAAGCAAAATGGTGCAATGTTTCTGTGCAATTTCTAGTGATATGGATGCTAAAACTTATGGCTTGTTTTGGTAGACTTCTTAGAGCATCTCCCAAGCTGATTCCAGTGAACTCTGCCAACCTGTACTTTTACAGAGAATCGCTCTCAGATGATTATGTCCATTGATTCTCTGAAATGAACTAAGATGCTGGGATCTGAAAAAAATCTCATGATTCATTTCCCACATAGAATCATGTCCTCCATAGAGTTTATTCTAGAGAATCACTTTCAGCCACAGAATCAGTCCCCCCTTCCCCAGACATACAGCAGTACCAGGAGCTGATAACAGGCCCTTACAACACCTTGCTGGTTGCATGGATGCATGTTATTTTGGTGAAATTCGATTTCAGAAATCAGAAAATTGGGTTTGAATTGAAGTGCTTATGTTTCTGTATGGTTCGAAGTTTTAGTATAGTCATGGAGGATATCTCATATCCAACTGCGAACAGGGACAGGCAAATTTAAAGGCTTGTTGTTTTAGCCATGAGTTTTCTAATTTTGAATTTTTCCCTTTAGCCAATAGCCATATAATGCAAGTGGCTTACTGTTCTCGCATCCAACAATATTCACATCTAAGTGGATTTCTACAACTATTATATGATGTAGGATATGAGACCAGAAATTGAAGCCATCAATGAAGAGATGCGAAATGTAAGTATGTTAATTTGTTCAGTTCACATTGCAGTTTATATGGAATTTGTTTAGCATTTACTTGGTATGCTCGTTATGAAAAACAAGAAACTATTTATGCTTTGCAGTCAACTGATCCAAGATCAATGGAAGTGGGGAAACAGAAATTGGGCGAGCTGTTCCTTAGGTGTGCAGCTTTCTATGTCTAACTTTTTATTCGATCTCAAAACTGCCCGATAGCTTCTTGTTTTCCATTTCTGCGTGGCTCCAAATATTTTTTATTTCATGTTACAGATTCATCATTTTACGAGGCTGGAATGCCTATCACTTAACTCACTCCTTTAATTGAGTAGCTCCACAAGAGCTTTTTAAATGTTATTATGTTCGCGCATGCTATTGCCTATTCATGAAATATGAAAGCAACCTCCCTCGTCCTAAATCATTGAACATCTTAACTGGCTTGACTGCCCCTTTGGTTATCTTTTTCTATTAGTATTTTCTTTCCTCTTGTCATACAAGCTGTATAAGATATATTACTGAAATAATTGTTTCATTACTTCTTGCTTCAGACATGGTGTGACTCCATTGACACCATTGAAGGGTCTATTCATACAGGGACCTATGTTCATGAGCTTTTTCTTTGCTGTAAGTTTATAGTTTACACCACATTTTTGTTGCATCCAAAATTCTAGTCTAGCAATAGGATTAACCTTATTTCTCATTTCTAATGTTTATGTTTTCTATTCCAATTTTAGATATCAAATATTGTTGAGAAAGTCCCCTCTATGAAAGGAGGTGGTTTGTATTGGTTTACTGATTTGACGACTCCTGATAATTTTTTCATCCTCCCAGTGTTAACATCACTGACCTTTCTGGCCACAGTAGAGGTTTGCATTTTATCCACTGTGTTTATCTGTTATTTTTTGTCAAGATATTAGTGTTTTCCTAAATATATTTTTCAGCTTAATATGCAAGATGGCATGGAAGGAAATCCTATGGCAAAAACAATGAAAAAGGTCTCTAGATTTTTTGGAGTTATGTTTGTTCCATTTACAATAGGCTTTCCAAAGGTATGTAACTGTGAAACTGCTCAGGTTTTTAAGTAAGCATCAACTCACCGTTCTGTTTTCCTTCATTTACATTCAGCTTTTCCAAAGGTACAAAACTCTGAAATCACTTGTAAGAAATTACATTTAAGGGCTCAATTTTTTTAATAACGGCAAGTTCTCATTCTGGCTACCCCTCCTAAATGCTAGATGTGGCCTTCTCAAAATAAATAAATGAACATTCTTTGGGCTTATTTGGTCTTCCATAACCTGTTTCTGGGCAGACAGTTTGGTTTCTGAAACTGACCAGATCAGACCTTGTCTGGGAAAGTCTACTCAGTACTTCTCATTAGGCTTGTCTATACTTATCTACTACCAGACGCCATGACAGAAAGTTATGGCTGCCTATTTTTGTTAATACATTCAAAATTAACATGCACGGCACCTTAATTTAAGGGTGAGGTGTATTGAATCCTTGAATTATCTGGGAGTGGGTTACAGAGGAAGTCTACTTTTTTCCTCGAACAAGTCTTTTGTATTTTACATTTGGCGCAGCCATTTTGGTTTTGCTACTGCTCTAGAAGGTTTTGCCAATTGTTTTACCCGAAAATAGTGTCAAAATATGCTGCGCTGAATGAAATTGCTGCTGGAACCGTAAGGGACAGTTCATACTTCATAGTGCCGATTGTGCCTACTGTTCTCACTTCCTGATAAATCTATACTTATGCTGAGGGCAATCCAAAATCTATTATTCATCTCATGTCAAATATGCTCAGCTTTGATGACTTGTGGAACTATAACACCGCAACACATACATTTGCGCTGCGCCGCTGCCATTAATATTTCATTTCTTTGACAGGCAATTTTCTTTTACTGGGTCACATCAAACTTTTTCTCACTTGTTTATGGTGCTGGTATGTCACTTTCCAGACGAGATCTATCTTTGTTCATGGTCTCTGCCTATCTTATGATTTATGTTCCTTAATTGATAAAAAAATATTTCATCTTTCTCAGTTATCCGGAATCCGGCTGTAAGACTCTCCTTAAATATTCCTCCCTTGGAATCTCATCCTACACCTGCACAAGTGCAGCCCTTAAACCTGTTGGGCAGACCTGAGTCAAGCCCTGGAGTCGATTCTCCTATTTCCGACAAGGAATGTGAGCAATCGAGTTCTGTGCTAAGTACTGGAGTCGATTCTCCTATAGCAGACAAGGAATGTGAGCAATCGAGTTCTGTGCTAAGTACTGGAGTCGATTCTCCTATAGCAGACAAGGAATGTGAGCAATCGAGTTCTGTGCTAAGTGACCGTATCAGAGATCTCGAGATAAGGGCTAAATCAAGGGGTGGATCTCAAGAGTAATTTCGGGATTTGTGCACATGGAAGTAAAGAAGCACATCTCCTTTTGGGTTTTGGTATCTTTTTTTGTTGGGAGCAAAGGATACCCAGTACTGAGGTATAATATTGAAGAGGCGGCATTTTTTCAAAATATATGGGTCGATCATGTTTCCGTGAATAAATTGGTGTAGTATTGGCTTGTAAAATCGTTGCACAGTATGATATAACCTTACTAGCTAACAATAGCCATGATGTACCTTGGATTAAGCGTATTGCTGCTACTGAGCAGCACACGCTGGGTTTTTCTAGTATTTGCTTTATGCTGAAAGCTCAAATGAGAGATATTTGTATCTGTACATTTGCAATGTTGTCAATTTTTGAGAGCTGAAGTTGTGATGTGACTTTTGGTTTTACTCTGTTCTGTATATTGTGTTACTGCTGCATGTTATATAAAGATCCTCCCAGAGTGTTATAGTATGCCTCATTATCTTTAAAAAAAGAAATTGATTTTGCTGGACATGAACAAAGAGTTTGCTTAGTTAGCATCTGTATCAAAGTCATCGATCTGAGAATCTCTAGGACCAGAAAATGATCAGAATATTTTATAATTAGTATATGTATACGTCTATAACCACGCAATGTCAGCACTCCTCAGGTAATTGCTCCTTCAGATTTGCCTGTGGATGCTTCTTTCAATGAATTGTCTCCTTCCTTTTGGTTCATCTAGTAGGATATGAAAAGGGCGTTCACCTACTCAAGATGGGATAGGAATGCTTTCCTGTCCACGAACAGGAGGACGAGAAAGCTAGGGTTCCTTATATATACAGTTAAGTCCACCTCTTCAATGATATCTGCTGATCACATATGTAAACGAGGAAATGGACAAAGTTTTGACTAGAAAAATCCTGAAGGCTATATTATACCAATATATCTCCAACTACGTCGTGAGCCGAGTCTACTAATTCTTTATCTCCCATTTGAACCCTTGCTTTCTCTCCACAACCAATCTACTACTACCAGATGTTTACTTGACCACCTATTGGCTATTGAGTTCTCATGTAGTACTAAAATACTTGGCTTCGCCTCTTCTTCGGCTTGACCTGCAGGCAGATCTCAACTTGCTGCAAAAATCCAGCCGCTCAGCTGGCCTCACGTACTCTCCAGTCTCCCCACAAAACCGACGAATCACTGTCTGTTTATTCGGTTGGTATGGAGGAGTTGCAGTCCAACTCCTACCACTGGATGAAGGATAAGCCATGGAATGAATGCAGGCATGGCTCATTCAGCACCTCATATGAAAGCAACAGAGTGCCTACCTGCCCCCGAAAGAAAATTGCCCTGTTCGCTTGGCTGATAAGCCATGACTTAAAGTATTGTCGGCTGATTTGTTGTGAGAAAAAAATACTTTTCGTTGGCTGAAAAAGTACGGCTTATAAGTCAAGCGAACAGGGCGACACAAGAGTAGAAGAAGACTGCGTTTGCCGTTTGGTTTGTGTTTTTCCACAGGGAAATGAACGAGGAAGCAGTCGTCCGTCCATGCTGAATTGACGACCAACAGGGCAACAAACACGCTTTCGTTCATCGTTATGTTTGCCGCGTCAACGAGGCCGGCCGAGTCGCTTCAATTGCAACTTGCAAGCAAGCCCTCAAGAGCTTGCTCGATCGATGGGCAGTTGGTCCCTAGCGTGAGCAGTGACACCCATCGAATGGGCGTCGCACACGCCATCCCTGATTCATGCTATGCGTCCATTTCCTGAAAGCAGAAGGGATATAAAGTCGAGACAAGGAAGCAGCCGTGCATGGGAAGGTTTTTAGCCTTTGTAAAGCATCCACAGATTGAGGGGCTTCTTTGTTTGTTTGATGATCACCCATACACCTTGCTTTTCAAAGGACAAACATAGGAGTAACTTTCATAGGCGTTGTAGGTACGAGAAATCATGATGCGATGGGTTAGAGAGGCTCTGAGCTTCCACGTAAATCTTTATTGACCCCTTAGGGCACTTGAAAACGTGTTGTATTGAACTTTTTCTCTACCTTCGGCCTGTTCACTTGGTCGTAAACGATCATAAATTTTTAGTCAGAACAGTATTTTTCTCTTACACCAAACCAACCAGCAGTAATAATCCACGATCGTATATGATCGTTTCAGCCCCAGTCGAACAGGCTGCTTAATACAAAGACGTGCAAACCTTTTACGTAATCGAGAAAAAAAAATAATGCGATACGCTAAAAGCATGGCCAATCAATAATTCCCACACTAAGGAACTGTCAAATCTGCTGAATGAATTTGGTTGCGACGGTGACTAAGACGAGGAGAGATACTGTTAGGAGTGAGGGAGAAAAGTAGCTGTTTTTTTTTTACGGACACACCTTTTCCATTCCATGAGGAGGAAGCACATCCGATCACTAGTGTTTACATGTACGGAGTTTTTTTTTCCTGGTAAGTGCCTGTTTAGTCCCTAAAATTTTGCAAATTTTTTTAAGATTTTCCGTCATATCGAATCTTTGACGCATGCATGAAACATTAAATATAAATAAAAAATAAAACTAATTACACAGTTTAGACGAAATTCACGAGACAAATCTTTTAAGCCTAATTAGATTATGATTGGACACTAATTGCCAAATAACAACGAAAGTGCTACAACACTATTTTCCAAAAAAATTCGCCAACTAAACAAGGCCTAATAATGGGAACTAACATGAGGGGTCACACCCCTACTGGGGTCATAGCATCATGTTTTAGGCTATGTTTAGTTCGTGAAATGAAAATTTTTGGATATCACATCGGATGTTTTGAGGATGTCGGAAGAGGTTTTCGGATACTAATAAAAAAAACTAATTATATAGCTCGTCTGGAAACTGCGAGACGAATTTATTAAGCATAATTAATCCATCATTAGCGCATGTGAGTTACTGCAGCACTTATGCCTAATCATGAACTAATTAGTCTTAAAACATTCGTCTCGCGATTTCCAACCAAACTGTACAATTAGTTTTTTTTCATCTATATTTAATACTCCATATATGTGCCCCAAGATTCGATGTGATACTTTGAGATAAATTTTTTTTAAAACTAAACCAGGCCAGCGACACGAACATAAAGGAAGATTAGGTAGCTAGGCCTTATTTAGTTGGCGAAATGTTTTGGGAAAAGGTACTACAGCACTTTCTTTGTTATTTGGTAATTAGTGTTCAATCATAGTCTCATTAGGCTTAAAAGATTCGTCTCGTGAATTTCGTCTAAACTGTATAATTAGTTTGATTTTTTATTTATATTTAATACTTCATGTATACGTCCAAAGATTCGATGTGACGGGAAATCTTGAAAAATTTTACAAAATTTTAAAAACTAAACAGGCACCTAGGCCTTGTTTAGATACCCTCAAAATTCCAAGTTTTTTCACTCTCTCTTCATCACATCAATTTTTGGACGCATGCATGGAGTATTAAATGTAGGTAAAAAAAATAACTAATTACACAGTTTGATTGTAAATTACGAGACGAATCTTTTGAGCCTAGTTAGTCCATAATCAGACAAAGTTTGTCAAATACAAACGAAACGTACTGCAGTGTCCAGATTATAAAAATTTCCAATCTAACCAATGCCATAGTATAATGGTTCAAATTCTGTCAGACACTTGAGTGCAGGAAGAGGAATAATATAATAATATGGTGGACTGAAGCTGGCTAGGAGCATGCAGCCGGACCTACATTACCAGTGAATTATGCATCTGCACGGTTAGTTTCGTGTAGGAGGAAGCGATCGCGATGCGTGCGTGATCTGTTCCTGTTCGGCTAGTCATCCTGATCCAAGTGTAATAGCAGAGCGAGAGAGGCTAACGACGGAATAAATAGGTGGCCGCGACAGGAGCACGAGGATTGCGTGACGAGCCATCGATTGGGGTTACCGTAGCACTTTCGTTTTTATTTGACAATTAGTGTTCAATCATAGATTAATTAGGCTCAAAACGTTCGTCTCGCGATTTCCAACCAAACTGTGTAATTAGTTTTTTTTTCGTATATATTTAATACTACATGCACGTATCGTAAAATTCGATGTAATAACTACTGTAGCATTTTTTGAGAAAAGTTTTTGAACTTAACGCGCGCTAAGACTGCGTATGAACCCAACACTAGCCTAGTAAATGGAGCGCGCCACAGCTATGGCGAGGAGGAGTGTCGCGTGAATCCAAACAGCCTCAATCATTGTACTGGCCGGACGTGATGCGTCGTCGGCCTCCACCATGCACCGGACGTGACACGTTTTGTAATAAATTGTAATCCGGGTCCGAGAGCGGCGGCGCCCAGCACCGGCAGCCGGCGGCAGCCCGGAGGCAAGAAGCGCCGTCGCGTGCGGCGGAACGGGAACAGCTGCCCGCCGAGTCAAACGGCAGCACAACACGGTGGTCGGCGGATCAGGTCGTCGGTTACCTGTACAGTTTTCGCATCGTCATCTGTATACACGTACAAAAGAAAAGAAAATACGACCTATTCGCTGATTAATTTCTAAACTGATAAACTCGACTGGTGTTAGTTTACTATGAGAAAAAAACAACGTTGACTGATAAACCTGACTAAACCAAACAAGCGAACAGGCAGGCAAGCCCGCTGGGTGCCCGGACCATGGGAACCTGTCAGCCTTCCCTTCCGGTTGGTGAGCGAGTCCCGGGCCGGGCGGACGGTTGGCTGGCCCACCCGCCAACCTCTGACCCCGACCCGGCGCGCCACGCCCTGACGCCCTCGCTAGCTATATATCCCGCCCTCGACACGTCGAGCCAGTCCAGCGCGCGGCGACACCCACACGCCACCGCTCGGTCTCTTGCTTCCTCCCGGCACAAGGCACAGCCACCACAGGCCATCCAGCCACCGGATCCACATCCACACCATGTGGGTGACGTCGATGCCGCAGGTGTGGGACGAGGAGGTCGCGGCCAAGGGCGGCAGCGCGGCGGTGACCCCCGCGCCGGCCGCGGCCATGCTTGGTTCGCTGGCGGGGTGGCTGTCCCGCACCGTGCAGCCGCAGCCGCCCCCGCCACGGGTGTGCGGCACCGAGGGTGGACCCCCCGTGACGGCGCCCAGGCTCAGGCTCCGCGACGGCCGCCACCTCGCCTACTGCGAGAGCGGCGTGCCCCGGGACCAGGCCAGGTTCAAGGTCGTCTTCTCCCACGGGTTCACCGGCTCCCGCGAGGACAGCGTCCGCGCCTCCCAGGTACTTTCCAATCCACCATGCCCATTGCTATTCTCTTCTCGTCGTCGTCGATCACGGCCATGTAGCAGCAGTGGATTGTCGGTGGTTAATCACGAACGGAAATGGAATTTTACCGCTAAAAGAGGAGGCTAGCTCAAACCGGAAAAGAACTAGTAGCTCGCCATGTGAGGTGTTCTTCCATCGTTAGTGGCGTGTGTGTGGTGGTTACCTTGTTTGTCTGAGACTGCGGATCCATCCATTGAACTTTGAGGATCTGGAGCAGTAGGCTTGAGGACAGAGAGGGGACGGAACTGTCGGTGTCTTTGGAAGACGACGACCTGGCGTTGGCGGACGCGCTTGCCTGTTTGGCAAGGTAGGTGAAGCAGCGTTTTCTCTGAGCTGCCAAACTATCTATCCCATCTGCGTCGCTGCGTGCTGTGCTACCAGCTGAGGTCGTTACTTTGATGGATCGTCGATGGTTGGCAGGTCAGAGCTGCCGCTTTCATTATTAGTTTAGAAGAAAACGAAAACGTATGCATTTCCTTTTTCCATTTTTAAAAAAAAAGAAAGATACTAGTACTGTATTGCGAGGCCATTCTGCAGGACTACTACCAGTTTTTTTTTTCATTTTGTTTTAATCTACAAAACAAACATTTTAATAATAGTAGTAGTAGGTGTCCAACAAAAAAAATACTTCTCTGACAGCTGTGTGTTATGCAAAGGTTAAAAATATTAGTTCTTCTAGTTGACATGCATTAAAAATTCGAGTACCGGCCTGCCTGCTATATAATTCGATCTCTTCGTTGGAGTACTATCTTATTATTATTATAGATAGAGTTGTATGTATTGTACTAGGAGAGCATGAGCCAAATTTTAGAATAAACGAACAGGATGATTATTTTCTAGAAGTAGTAACAGTTAGGCGGGCAGCGTGCGTGCTTGCTGGCGTCCCAAGTCATAGGATTCTTGTGTGCAAAGGCAAGGGTTGCCGAGATGGAATGGATTAATCCTCCACACTCACACACAGACAGACAGGCACAGCTTCTTCTTGCCTTCTTCTAGAACAGCAACAGAGCGCCGGATATGCAGATGCGTGCGCAACATGCTGTGCGTGCTCACCACCACCCCGCCTTATTTTCCTCGGATCTGTCACGGATTAAACAAATAGATATAATAGATACATAAATAAAGAGAGGAGGATAGGAAGGATAGCACCGGACAGGGCCTTGTGATTCTGGTCTGGATCGATGATGCCTCCAGCCTCCTCATGTCATGACTCATGACTGCATGAATCCTGGATGGATCGGTTGGATTTGCCTAAACTGTCGTCTACTATCCTCTTGCCCAGTTGTCCCGGCTCTCCAGCTCCGACGGATCCATTCAGAATCTTCTCTGTTCCAAGCAAAATTGTAGCGTCCACTTCTTCTTTCCTTGTGGACCACCATCAGACGAGAGTTTGAAAAAAAAAACTACTCCCTACTCCCTCCGTCGTATCCTATATAAATATACAAATCCTATATTATACAAAGTATTTGAAAAGTTTTAAATATATTAACAAAATACTCAAATAGCGCATGTATCTATGATCCGCAATGCTATAGACCCGGCGTCCGGGCTTCCGGACGCACCGTTCCCCCCGCACTCGCACTTCACCTGCTCCACCTTTTTTAATTACATAGATTTTGTTATGCACCGAAGTATATATTGTGTCTAGATATATTATAAAATCTATGTGTTTAGAAATGACAGAACAACTTACAATTTGTAATGAAAAGTGTATTTAAGTATACAACTTTTGAAAGTCATAATGACTGTATTTCTGGGCCGAGGGAGTACAGTGCATTCCTGATATTATGATATGCCTACTGACAGCATCATTTTATTAGAGTGCTTTGCTTTCTTACGCGCAAAAAAATAAAGTCCACTGTTTCCCCGTTTTCTTCGCCTAACAAGAAACCGATTCAGTAGAATGTTCAGAACCTTTGCACCAAAACCAAAACATGTCATTTTAGACTGTGGTCCGACACGTTAGCTCACCCAATCAGGGTTACAAAAACCGCATTCCAAATCCCCTCCCCGCCACATCTTTACCTATATCTAACCTAAACACGCACCTAAGAATAGACTCCTTGTCGTCGTCGTCGTCGTCGACGTCCTTCTTGGCAATGGCAATGTCAGGGGTGCTGCCTGGCTGGAACACCACCTCCCTCTACTGTTTGTCCACATGCGATTGCGATGCAAAGCTGGAGTTTGGCGACCTACATACACTACACAGAGCTGCTGTTGGGCTGGGCGTTTGGCGTAAGGCCTCAAGCGGCGGCCGAACGGTGGGTCGGTGACCAAACCAAACACCAGCGTCTCGGCTGGCTGGCTCCCATCGAACGGAGCGTCGCGTCGCGTGCACGGTCTCGCCCGCACGTCGCCTCGCCTCGCCAGCTCGCTATCGCGACGTGGGCGGTGGGCGGTGGGCGCCGCGCGGTGCGGCCATCGTGGCGAGCGACGCGGACTGGGGCACTGGGCGGTGGGCAGACTCTGCAACCAGCCAACCACCGAGCGGAACGCCTCCAAACCCCTTGGGACAAAATGGCAGCCGCGCCACCGCAACCGAGGCCGAATCGGGGGGCCGTGACCGGCCGTCACGTTTCTTGCCCGGGAACGCCGCCCGCATTTCCTAGCTTAGGATAGGACTGCTAGGACTGTGACTCCAGGAGCAACCACGTCGCGGAATGAGCCGAAGAAGGCCAGCCAGGCAGGGCAGGTGTCGACTGCATCGCCGCGGTCCCTCCCCCTCCTCTCAGCAGCCGGACTCGGACACGTGAGCCTCGCCCTCGCCCTCGCCCTCGCCGCGCCGCAATGGAGCTGCTGGCCAAGGCGCCCGTGCTGAGCTGCGCCGGGAAGATGCAGCGGCAGCGGGCGTCTGCGATGACCTCCCTCGTCGCCGGCGCGCTGAGCAGGTGGATTTGCCGTGCCGTGCCGCCGCCGCCGACGAGGGCCCCGCCGGCGACGGCGCGGAGGGTGCGGCTCAGGGACGGGGTCAGCAAGGACGACGCGAGGTTCAAGGTCGTCTTTTCCCACGGCTTCACCGGCTCCCGGCTCGACACCGTCCGCCCGGCGCCGGTCAGTGCCCTGTCCCTTCCTCGCCGGCCTCTGCAGCAGCGCTAGCTAGACGCCCTCCAGATGCGGCTTTGGTCGCCGCGGACCCGGCTCCTTTTTGTCACATATGCGTGCGGGCGTGCGGATGTTGAGTCTCCATTGGAAAAGCATCGAGCTTTTTCTGGATCTGTCGTTGTTCTTTTGGCCCCGACGACTCATTTCCAGCACATCCTTTCTAGCACGTCATCAGATTCATCGGATAAAAAGGATTCGTTTTTGTCCACAAATTCTGACGGATTGTATCCTGAAATTGGATTTCTAGGAAGTGGCGGAGGAGCTCGGCGTGTACATGGTGGGCTTCGACCGCGCCGGCTACGGGCAGAGCGACCCCAACCCGAACCGGTCCGTCAAGAGCGCGGCGCTGGACGTAGAGGAGCTCGCGGACGCGCTGGGGCTCGGCTCCAAGTTCTACGTCATCGGCATCTCCCTCGGCTGCCATGCCGTCTGGGGCGCCCTCAACTACATCCCCGACAGGTGAGGAACAACATGCATTGCTTGTGTGGAGGAAAGGAGAAGACCAAGTGTGTGTCCTACTAACAGAGTCGTCTGTCCCCCTGCAGGATCGCCGGCGCGGCGATGATGGCGCCGGTGGTGAACTACTGGTGGCCGGGGTTCCCGGCGGAGCTGGCGGCGGAGGTGTACGCGAAGCAGGAGGTGGGGGACCAATGGGCGCTGCGGGTGTCGCACCACGAGCCGGGCATCCTCCACTGGTGGATGGAGCAGAGCTGGCTGCCCACGTCGACGGTGGTGGCCGGCACGACGCCGCTGCCCAACGCACGCGACGCCGAGATCCGGCGCAACATGCAGGCGGACGGCACGTTCCAGCAGAAGCGGGAGCAGGCGACGCAGCAGGGGATCCACGAGTCCTACTACCGCGACATGACCGTCATGTTCGGCAAGTGGGAGTTCGACCCCATGGCGCTGCCAAAGCCGCCGTGCCCCGTGCACCTGTGGCAGGGCGACGAGGACGGCCTCGTCCCCGTCGTCCTGCAGAGGTACCTCGCCGGCAAGCTCGCCTGGGTCAACTACCATGAGCTCCCCGGCACCGGACACTTCCTGTCGGCGGTGCCTGGGCTCGGAGACACCGTCCTCAGGACCATTTTCGGTCACAAGCAGTGACAAACAGTTCATCACGACGTATGGGCAGTGCTAAGCTTAAAGTATAGTAGTGTCAGTCGTGGCGCATTAGTTCATTTATTATTGTAAGGCCGATGGTTGTCGCTGATTAGCGATGATAATGGTGATGTAGATGCAGGATCTTGAAAGTGAAATACTATCAGATATATAACATACATACGGTGATGTGATACTGTTAGGGTAGGACCTTTTCTTCTTCTTTTTTGATTTGTGAGCGAGCATAACGCACACAGAGAACAAACTGTCTACTTAAGTACATTTTTTGCCACGATAAGAAAGGTGTCGCTAAAAACCTAAATTGATATAATTACACAAAACAACACTTAGATAGACATTGTCTTAATTCTTTTATAAAGCGACACATAGACAACAAGGAAAATAACGAAAAACTTACCGCGGTGATATTGCAATCTTGTGGCCTTCATGAGTGGAACGTCCCTTGTTAGCCGCCATGGTTGGCCTCCGCTCCTTGTTTTTTCAGCTGTCTTTTTCAGCTTATTTTTTCAGCGGGAACAGCCGCAGTGACTAGTGCAAGACGTGCAAGACACAGTGAACCGTGTTTACTTCGTGCTACAGTATTCTGCGTTGCTACAGTGCCGCGTGGAAAGGTGTCTGAGCTGCGTTTGCAAGGCAACTGAGCAGCGAGCAAGAGGCGTGCGCAGCGGGCAGAGCTTGTGATTGAGATTAATGCGTAGCGTGTGCGATGCTGTTGCTACGGTCGGTCGTCGCTGTGCGCGTGCTGCGCAGGCTAAGCAGAGCAGTGTGCCTTGTGCGCGCTCTGGGGATTAGGAAGAAGATGAATAGCGAGAGATGGAGTTGGATCAGGATGACAATAGTGAGTTGAGCTGTGCTAGAGAGTATTTGGACAAGGAATAAATTAGAGCTCAAATTGAGAATTAGTGCAATAAAATTTAATTTCTCATTTTACCACATGCAATAATACATAAACATGATGCTCATGACATGGTTTTAGCAAAAACTGTACAATGCAACACTGAGGGTATTACAGAAGTGCAGCCAACAAGCTTTGCTTTGATGTAATCCCCTAGGGTGGCTGTACCTGCATGTTAAGTATGAATACCCCGAGACTAGCTTGTCTAGGGGGCATTGAGTGTTGGTTCGGCAAGGTAGATACGTCCACATAGCACCTGTTGCCTTGGAGCTGAGCTGGCACAATGACTATGCACCTTTGGTTCGAAGGTTGCTGTTTTTTTGTGGTGGCTGACCTATTTGTGGCAGTGTTGGTCGTAGTCGGCCTGTTGTTGGTGGCAGAAGGCCGGCTTTAGTACTAGGTGTTGGCTCACAGGGCTCGGACACACCGTCTCTGTTGGCACGACGCCGTATAGTCAGCACATGTACTGTCCTTGTCCTCCCTTCAACTATAAAAGGAGAGGACTTGGACCCCTTAGAAGAGATAGAGGGAGAACACCTGGTAGCTCACACACACACATCATCCTTACCTTTGAGAGCAACGTCTCAAGCAGCCCACCACGACACCTCGCCGAGACACAGGATTAGCTCCCTCTCCCACGTGCTTGTAACCCCTACTACTAGCACTTGATTGCAAGGAATACAAGATCGATCTCTCGGACCGGACGTAGGGCATCGATTATGCGAACCGATATAAACCTTGTGTCTCTTTGCATCACCATCCGGGATTAGGGGCACGCAGTTCAAATTCACTAGTTGGTAGAGGACCTCGGTCAAAAACACCGACGATTAGTGCGCCGGTAAAGGCGTCTGCGTGTCGATTTAAATCATCCCAACAAGTTCGAATGGCGAGACGTCACGACGTTATGCCGTTATGTCTCGACACGGTGATCTGGTTCGGGGCCTAGAGTTCATGTCTCGGGGCATGAGTACAACATGGTACTCCTCACGCCCGAGCCCCACCAACCGACGGCGATGTCACGACCACCGTGACCCAAAGTAGCGGCGCCCGGGCGGCCGCTCTCGCCGTGCTCGCCAGGCACGACGCGAGCAAGACCACCTCGATGCTACTCGAATCCAGGACGGCACGCCGCTCCCCGCCGACATCCTACGACCAGCTGTTGGCACAGGCTCCCTGGCTGGGGACCTGTCTAGCTTTGAGCTTGGGACGAAGGAAAACGCCGGTGGCACATGGCGACGCCTAGTCACCAAGCTCCGCTCCACCACTCCCTGAAGAGCCAGTTTCGGCGGAGCAAAGTCCGGTGATGGCACCATCCTCATACCCCTTTGGGTTGAGAAATGTCGCCACCTCTTATGCTTACGCTTACGCCGCCGCTCACAAGGATCCCCCAGAACGTCGCCAGCGCTTCACTCTCGACCTGGGCACCCACGCCGACTCCTCGGAGGAGGACGAGGCATGGCCCGGAGTGGATTTCTCTGGACTCCACGACCCTGGGGCTATGCGTCATTTCCTGGGCGCAAGCGACTACTGCTTCGGCTACTCCGACTCCAACAACGAGGGCACCTACGACCCCGCTCGCGAGTGTTTCCACATCGGGCTCGGGATGCCGAGGGCGGGCGAGGAAGACGAGGGGGCGGGTAGCCATTCCCGCTCGGCCGTGAATGCGAGCGCCACACACCTCGCGCGCATTGTCCTACTGGCGGCAAAGACGGGCGAGAACCCCTGCTCTTGTGCGACCTCAACGTCCGGACACTGGAGCAGCCACGTGAGCTCCGGGCCAAGGTCGAATAGGACCGACTCCTTCTACAGCAGCTTCGAGACTCTCTCGAACAGGAGCAGCGAGGTCGCGACGAAGGTGGAGTAGCCTGACGAAGGGCCCGCGATGTACATCATCGCATCCACGACGACGAAGGGAGCGAGCAACCCCCAGTCTTCAATCGCGCCAGCCAGAACGTCATGGCCGCAGCAATGCTGGTCCGTGCGATGCCCGAACCTTCTACCACGGAGGGGCGGCGGGTCCACGGCGAGCTCCGAGAGCTCCTAGAGACCGCCGCGGTTCAGCAGGCCGAGAGTTCCGCCTCCCGACGACACGGGGGCGTCTCGAACCTGCCCGCGCCACCACCTCGGCAAGACAGGGAAGCCTCGGCTCGTCCCGAGCCCGCACGAGCACCTATAGCTGGAGGAAGCCCGAGACGTCGTGCTACTACACTCGGCCAAATACCAGCAGAGCCTACGGCGCTATCAGGCCCGACGCGTCCGAAGCCGAGACTTGAAGGTAGGCGACCTGGTGTTGAGGCTAGCACAGAGCAACAAGGGCCGCCACAAGCTGACCCCTCTATGGGAAGGGCCGTACATCATCGCCCAATCATGGCTTGGGACCTACAAGTGGCCAATGAGAAGGGCGAAGTCTTCACCAACGCTTGGAACATAGAAACGACTCGTCACTTTTATCCCTAAATTTTCAAGCATTGTATATGTCGTTTCTCGAAATACAATTAAAAAGCGTTTTTAGTTGGTCTAATATTTCGAGAAACCCCCGAGCCCATCGTGTGGGTCTTGGCAATACAATAACACAACAAGGGAGGCTCGGCTGCGCCTCAGCGAGAACCAAGCCTCCCTCGGGGGCTAGATGGGGGACTCCCCCTAGGTCCCACGCACCATTCTTCAGTCGTTTTTCACAAAAATTCCTACGCCAAGACTCTAGCCCTAGAAGCTTCACTCCCCAGCTCTGCGTCACACAAGGGAGTTAGGGAACGAACATAAGGAAAAGAAAACAAAATGAGGGGACTAAGACTCACCCTCGACCGTCCCCCTCCAAACCACACCCTCGATTCATGAGGCCTCGGTGCAACAAGGGCCTCATCCAAGGCACCTTTCGTCAATTTGGTGCGCGCCTCATTCCACCTCCGGCTGCCCAAGAAGAAGCATGGCCGAGGCCAGTAGCATCGATGGCTTGGCCCTGAAGGCATCCCGATCGTGACCGCGTGGGTGAGCTCCTCCTCCAACTCCTTGACCCACGCCGCCCGGAGGAGCGAGGCTGCGTCAGGTCGTGGCCGCCCGACCTTCAGCGTGCACAACTGAAAGCGGAGGTCCTCTACCTCTGCGCTCCGCGCCGACAGGAGCTCGTTGGCGCCGGCGAGAAGGCCCTCCTACCGCTGAAGCTGGTCCCAGACGCCCCTCTCCCGCCGGAGAAAGACCGACTTCCCAAGGGACCGGGTCTCGAGCTCCTGGTGAAGCAGAACAAGGGTCATTGATTGTAACAAAACCAGAAAAGGACAACGTCGCGCGAGAAAGGAAAACGCAAACCTGCGTGACTCCGGGCAGGTCGTCGGCCACCACGGACAGGGCCGTCCGTAGCGACCGCTCCGCCAGCTGACGGTATTGCTCGAAGGTGCCCTAGCGCCCGCCCTCGGCTGCGTCCTTGAGGGCGAACAGAGGCTCCCCCTCAGGGTCGTCCCGGCTCCGCCACAGTACCCGCGGGTGATCCCACCCGCGAGGCTCGGGTCGCACCCGCATGAGGGCCAAGTTTCCCTCGTCCAAGATCGGCGCCGGCTGTCCCACGGCACCGGCATCCTTGGCGTCGACCACCTCCCGCACCCGGGAAGTATCGTCGGAGGAGATCGGATAGACCTCCGTCTCCCGGGCGCTCTCTCACAACAACGGCGGCCCCTGAAGCAAGGGCGCCACCAAGGCCTCCGCCGCCTTCATCTCTGCCTCCTGGACAGATGGCCTCGCCACCATCACGACGGCCTTGGTGGTCTCGAGGGCTCCGGCCTCCGCCATCGTGGCCTCGGAGGACGCAGAAACACCGACCACAGCCACTGCGGTCTCGGCGGTCTTGGACGCCCTAGCCTCCGTCGCCTCAGCCCCGGAGACCCCGGTGGCCTCGGCAACCAAGGGCACGCCGGCCCCATCCGACTCGTGAGCCTCGCCCTCATGGGGCGGAGGCACTCCCTCCCTCGTCTGTGTAGGGGCCGCCTCAGCAGCCCCTCCTTGGGCGGCCGGCTCCTTCGGATCGACCCTCGCCGACGCCACGCCGCGTTGGATAGCGGCTTGTGCCTCCGCCACCCAGTGGGCGGAGGAGCCGGGG